AGAGAATCTTAAGAAAATAAAGAAACTTTTTTTGTTGAGCGAACAGGCTCTTTTCAGCTGAGCTCTATTTGAAACCGCCTGCTCATGGTCACATGAAGAGAGTTATGAAAGCGGAAAATTTGAAGGGAAGTACAGAAAAAGTATACAAGGAAGGTTCATGATGGGCACCTGTTAGCTCCGAAGTGTCTGAGGATTTCATTTATCAATTTTTTTATTGAATCTTTTTTTTTCTTAGAAAGTTCCCATAGCTGATGATAATAAAATAAATTGCAATATGCAGAAGATTTCAAACTACACAATTTAAGCGCAATAAATTGACTGTTGTTGGTTTAGCGCAATTTCTCTCATTCCAGACTAATTGACCGTAACCGTTAATAGAAATTTAATCTTTAATAACACTGTCCAGTCTGATGTGAGCTCAATTATCTCAATCTCTGTGCAAGATATCAAAAATTTTGATTTGATTCATAAAACTCTTTTCTTGATTCATAAAACTCTTTTCATATTATGATAAGCAGTTTATCAGTTGACAATTTTTTTATTTGACAGGAACCGAGATAAATTGGCTCAAAATTAAAAGTTAGGGGCCCTTCTCTTCAAGGTTTTCGGTATTACTCCGAATTCAAGGAACAACCATCTGGAGAAATTACTTAGAAGTACTCAGTCCTAACATAAAAATGAAAACCAAAAGATCTTTCGGGGAAATATATCGTTTCGATCTGATCATGACAGTAGCCAGATCAGAGGATAAACAAGAGAGTATTCATAAATGAGAGAAACCAGATCAACAGAGAAAAGACAGTTTGCACACAAACTGAAAAAAAAGAGAGGGATGATATGGTCAACAAACACTGGCTAGACTCATTCAATTTTCATCGTGTGTGTGCCTTTTTTAGGAGTTCTTCAAATAAAAGATTGACTTCGATTGGGAGCGAACAATCACTTTTCAAGCGGGAAGAGAAAAATACAGGTGTCAGAGACCTGGAAGTTGTTTACTATGCTGGTACGAAACATCGGAGCTGCGGCCGTAGCTGAAGGCCTTGCAACGACAACTATCGTAAGCTTAAAATACCTTTATTGTCAGAGTATGTTTTCTCCCTTTTCTTGCCGTAGTTGTCGTTTTGGGACCTTCGGCCACGGTCACCGGTGATTCTCTTCCACAGCTCCGATTTTTTGTCCTAGAGTAATACAGGATATTGTTCGGTATGAATTTTTTTATTTAGGTATGACCATCTTCTTCAGGGTGACCCTCAAGAATATTTGCTAGGTTTTCAGATCCGCTGAAAACAACGCATCCGCTTAATCGGTGCATTCACAAATTATTCAATTTTTTGGCCCTTGAAACAAGATCAATTTTCCATTGCTTACAATGTTGTAATACACTTATGTTTTCACGATTTTTCATATACAATTTTTGCCGTAAATGCTCTAATAGACGCCCACTCTAACTTTCAATTTTGAGCCAATTTATCTTGGTTCCTGGGAAAGATATAAACATTTTGTCACTGAAAAAATATAGGGGTTATTATGATAAACCAGCCTGTTTACCGCGCCTCCGGTCTTTCCTTCCAGGTTTTACGGTAATTGAGTTCAAAGTTGACAGTTTAGGTGGGCTTCTATTAGAGGAAATATGTGTATTTCTTGGATTTGTTCATTTTTAGTTCCAAGAGTTTGTGACTCCAAACCCTCTCCAGCTTTAAAGTTCTCGTCAACGCTCAAGACCTTTTTCTAATATTTTCAAACGTTTCCCTTCATCGGAAGAATTACAGTAGCCCACTTTTTTTACTCACACAGTTTCCTTCTCACACAATTTTTCTTTCGATTTTAGCATACCTACCGTAACCCTCCTTTGCACCGGTGACCCATTTTTCACAGCAATCAAAAAACAACAAAACAACAACAAGAAGAAAAAAAGAGATTCCCCTTCTTCTTCTCACTCTCACATCATCTTTCTCCTCGTCTCTGGATCTCTGGCGCCGCTCATCCTCCCTCGCAAAACTTTTTGGAACACTGTCTATACCTCTCCAATTCGCACACTATTTTTTACTCTTCGGAGTTTCCGGCGCCTGGAGAGCCGATGGAAAGGAGCCAGTGAAGACAACAGATGAGGGCGGAAAAAAAAGAGAGAAGATAGAAAATGGGTGGGATGGTGGTTTGTGATCATTGAAGAAAAGGGAGAAAGAAAAAATAACAAGTTCTTCTACAGATTGAAGTGATGTGGAATGAGTCAGGGGCTTCTGAATCAACGGATGGCTGTGTCTGGTGAATGAAACTTAGATATAAGCTACAAATATTGAAGATAAATCCTTGGTCTTGGCATAAAAAAGAATTTTGTAAGCTGTAAAAAATGTAATTTTTATCCAGAATACCTGTAGTACCTACAGTATCAGTCATTGAAATTTAGAAAAACATTTACGTATTTCTGTTGATTTTTAATCATTTTGACCATTTTCAGGAGCCTGGATCTCTGCTGTCAAACTTTCGATCACTCCGAAAATTTATCAGTGTGTAAAACCGACCAAGATTTTTGAAACTTCTTATATTTTCGATTTCTGAAATACACCCCTTCTCGGCCGGTTTTTGTACTGAAAATGTGAAAAAAACAGATCTCTTTCAGAAATCGGCTAACATCTGAAAAACTAGGAATTTTCAAAAAAAATTCTGGGAATGCGTAGTGTTCAATCTAGGCTTGTTGAAAATCCTCCAAAATTTTCATAACGATCGGAAACTTGACAGCCGCGCTCCAGTCTTTTGAAAACGCTCAGAATCAACAGGAAAACACCGTTTTTTTCGAAAAATAAAATTCATTAAAAATAACAAGTGTACTGATTAGCCAGACGTTTTGTCTGTTGATCCCTTTCGCCACGTAGAGGCTCAGTACATGAAAGGGTACCCCCGCCCTGGTCTCCGAGGACCACTGTTGGATAATTTCCAAAGTTCCTTTTTCCTTGTAAGAAGCCTTGCATACACTTTTTATTGATATTTGTTCATTTCTTTTCATCTTTGATTGAATCTTTTGCAAAATTGGAACGTTCAGCGGAAATGATTCTACCTAGCCATGAACCCCAAAACATGGCGACCCTTAGGGCCTTCTAGTACTTTTTTCGCATTCGACTAGTCGAAAGAAAAAAAAAAAAGAAAATGAACCAAAAAGTGAAGATTTTTTTTGAAAAGCTTGAAAATTAAATAAACACAATTTGACGTGACCTTCTGAAAATAGAATAGTAAAATAAATAGGTTTAATCGCGCCGAAGGCGCACCAGCCAGCTGTTTGAAGCGCCAAACAAGCTGGTGAACAATAAAAAAGATCCATTTCATATTTGGTTGGAGAACCATTATGCCTGTCACACTAAATATATATTATGATCCGACTGAAAATCAACCTAAACTCAACTGGAAACTTAATTTTTAGATCAAAACTGGAGTTCTTCAATATCTTGTTGAAAACGCTTTTTGTGTCAAAAACCTAGTTCTCTGAAAATATCGAAAATCTGTAATTTTGCTAATCGAGAAAATCTCTGTGTGTGGCCTTGTTTCTAATGCTGAGAATCCCAGATTCCTTCAGATCGCAACATATTTTTCTCACAGACCATATCACCGCTTTCAATTCCTGATGACGTCATATCTTCCACACCTCGTCGTGTACTTCGTTTCGTCCACCCGCAATCGCCTAATCTATCCATCGTCCGAGTCATTTTGTATCTCGATTTTCTCTCCGAATCGGTCAGCATTCCGAATATCTCTACACGGAATAAGTAGGCCAATACGGACAATTGGTCAAGTAAAAGAGAAAAGAAAAGTAGGAGGAGGAGGAGAAGAACGCGTTTCGCGTTGATTCGACCCATTCTCGTCACTCGGAAAAAGAGATCCACATTTTATTATTGATTTGGCTTTTGAGCTACTTTTTAAATTAGATTCAGATTAAAGTATATGTGGTTTCAACAGATTTGTCATATTTTCCTATTAGATCTTTCTTTGAAGTTTTCGTCTTATTAGTGGCGAAAAATTCTTAGGGTACTAAAATTTTGGGGCAATCGGGGTTTAAAATTCTCAATTCGCGGCTAAGGAATACCTGAAAAATTCGAATTTTTTACCCGCGAATTGTGGATTTTGTACCCCTAAATTGCTTTGTACACCACTGTACCCCCGAGTTGCTGTACCCTCCGAATTATGGGTTCTCATTAGTCCACAGAAATATTGATAATGTAGTCTGTGTTTGATCCCTGAACACAAACTTTTATAACATCTCTAACATTTAAAAAGTTTTCTATTTGCAAGTTTTTATCTAGATTTCAATTTACTGTGACAAAAAAATTCCGTAAAACCTGTAATAGAAGGGCCCCTAACATTTAACTTTCAGCTTATTTTTCTCAATTCGTGTAAAAGATATAAAAAATGATAACTATTGCTTAACATAATATCAGAAGTATTTTGTCAGTTGACATTTTTGGGGTCTTGCATAGGAAATGAGATAATTGAGCTCACACTTGACAGGTTGGGGGCCCTTCTATTACAGGTTATACTGTTGGTCCCTTTTTTAACTGAACGGAACTCAAGTTCAGGTACTATGTATAAATAAAATGAAAACTATAAAATCTGATAATTTCTTAAAACTCTAGCAACAGAAAACTAATCAAGAACTATTAACATTTTTTCCTATTATACTCTTACTATTTTTTTCAAGTTCGTAAAATTTGCAATTCGAACTTTTATGTAATGTGAAATATGTAATAGAAGGGCCCACATTCATTTTAACTTTGAGCCAATTCTTCTTGGTTCTTGTCAAATATATCGAAAAGTTGTCAACTGATAAACTTCTTATCATAATATCAGAAGACTTTTGCCAGTAAACCACTTTTTGATATCTTGCCTAATGCTTGGGATAACTGAGCTCAAAATTGACAGTACCTTCTATTGCAGGTTTTAATGTATATCTATTACAAACTGCTTTGTTCTACTGTCTTTCTTTTTATCATCAACAGATTGATTTCTAGTGAATTATGCCACACGACAAAGTGTCTCCACTTCCACCAAACTACATCTTCTCTCCAAATGACAAATTCTACTATGCTCCTGCCACGTGTAACTCGATGCACTACACAACAGCCGCCTACATTTCTGCTTTCGTAGAATTCGTCGTTATGGGAACTGGAGCTATTTGTTTCTACGGTAGTTATTTAAACTTAATTTCCAAGATACCATATGGTTTTTTAGTGATGAGCCACAAGACAGACACAATCGACAAGTGGTTGTTCTATCTTCAAGCATTGATTACTGTATTTTCTGTGATTACTTCTCTTCTGATGACAGTTGGAATGCGGAAGGAGAAACCACAATTATTCTCTCCAAAGCTTGCATTCATTACTGTAAGTTTTAAAATGTATTTTTAAATCCAATGTTCAATCTTCAGCTTGAAATCGGATTCCTTCTCTTCTGGGCTGGAATTTCTGTTCTCTGCATGTCAATTGGAATCGATTTCACTCGTTCGGCATTCGGACACTTTGGAAGAGTTCTTCAAATTGAGAAGGATTACGGACCGATCTGGCCATTCAATGTGGCTGTGGTCTCTTTCTTCACTGCTGCCATTGCTATCTGGTAAGTTACTTAAAGGAGGGGAGACAGGAGAGCACTTCCAGTGTGTGCCCCACAAGTTCAATTCCTCGAGTTTCTGATAGGAAAAATCTGCCAGATCAAATTTGATCTACCATAAAACTTTGAAAGTTGTCAAGTCTGATGAAAATAACCCGCGCCGTAGGTGCACCAGCCAGACGTTTGAAGCACCGGAGGCGCGACAAACAGATTGGTGTGAAAAAAATTTAAAGATAGTTATGTTTCATGTCTCCCTTCTTTGAAATTGGAATATTCAGGACTCGAATCATTGTTCAAGGAGCATGCGACTATCTGTTGGACAAGGAATATTTTTCCAGTAAGCAAAATGTTGAATTGAGAGAGGCATCTAAGTCGAGATAATAAAAAAAGATCTTTGTAAGTTTTAATTGATTTCGAGTACTGTACTTCTTCTATTTGTTTATGTTGCCATTGAACACTAATAAAACCTCTAATTGTTCTGAAACCTACAAAATAACCACTGTAAAGCACAAACATGAAACAAAACTTTATTAATAATTGAGCAGCCATCCCAGAATGCTTCTCTTTCTTCTCTTATATCCAAGTGCTGGATTGTAACTGGCATATCCGACAGTGTTGAAAATGTTATCGAACAACCAGTATGATCCACCATCCGGATAATACATCTTCTCTCTTGAAGCAGCCAAGCCAGGCATCGTTGCAGTTTCACAAGTAGTCGTTCCATTCAGATACAACTGATAAAAAGATATTGAATGAAATACCAAGATGAAATGTCCCTACCTTGAAAATAAGAGTCATGTCACCATTTTTCGCGAAATCTGTTGGAATGAACCTCTCATAAGTAAGACACTTTGTCCCTCCTTTCAAGTAACTATATGCACATTTTATATCAGCCTTACAAGCTTCAGCGCATTCTGCGACGGAGGATACTGTACTGGTTGCTAGGGCATATTCTTCGAACTTAGAGTCTTCTGATTTTATGTTATCCCATGCTGCCATACAAGGACCATTCGCTGGTTCAGGGGTCGTCGGTCGGTTGGCTCGACATGGTTTGCGGGCCTGAATGCTCAGCGTTTTGAAATTGGGCCAAAAATAACATTTTTAAACAGAAGTATTTGCTCTAATAGAAGCTACCTTCACTTTGAGCTCAATTGTCTCCATTTCTATTAGAGATTACAAACATCTGTTAACTGATAAATTATTGGTGATTTAATGATGAATGTTTCACCATTTGACAAAATTTTGATATCTCTCATAGGAACCGAGATAATTGAGCTGACTTATAGGGCGGGCTCACCGATTTACCCCGGAGTATGGGTCTTAAAAATTTACCTCGGCGATGTGTGCCGTGACGGCGAATAGCGCCAAGAAAGTGAGAATTTGAAGCTGCATTTCGTTTCTTTCGAATGTATTGGCTTGTTTTATGGAGTCAAGATTTCAAAAAGTTTATGAGGGAAGTATAACATGGGAATGTGTGATGTCAATGACTCGAATAAGGATGTGAAAGTCCAAACGTCATGAAAAACTTGATAGACTGTGTTCGGCCTGATTCTGCTTTTCTGAGCAACTAGGTTTAAAGTGGATTACAAACACAACATAAAAGTGTATCATCCTACCGTAATCTTTATTCCAAACTAGACTTGACTCTATATCATAAAGATTTTTAAAGAGAAGTCATGAATGTTTAGGTTACTGTAGCTAAAGTTATTTGGAAAAGTGCAAACATTGTTTTTCCAGAATCAACTCTGACAAACAGTCTGAGAAAGTTATTTGAAAAATAATTTTTTTCGGATCTTTTTCAAACACATGTTTCCTTATTTACGTCTAGAGTGCCGAGTCGACTCGAAAATCCATGATTTTTGTCGACTTTGAAAATCGACACAGTCGACATTCAACAATTCGACAAGGCTATTTGTCGATAAAAATCGAACTTTTCGTTGTCGATTTTTGTCGACTTTCAGTCGACGAAAGTCGACGAAAATCGATTCTTGTCGATTTTGCGTCGACGGAAATCGACAGAAATCGACAAGAATCGACTTTTGTCGATTTTGCGTCGATTCTTGTCGATTCCAAATCGACAAAAATCGACTTTCGTCGATTTTCGCTTTCATCGACTTTTGAAAAGTCGATTTTCTGTCGACTTTTTGAATGTCGATTTTTGATCGAGTCGACGAAATCGACACCGATTTTAACGATTTTCGTTTGTCGATTGTCAACAATCGACACAGCACACTATTTACTTCGTCGTTCAACTAGAGAATGCTCGTAGAATATGACGCCCTGTCCGCATTGCGCGGTGTATGCAGATCAAGAAAAAGCGCGAAGAAGAAAAAAAGTTTAATTGAGACTAATTTGTTCTCAATCTTCACAAAATGGCTCAGGAACCGTACGTTTTCACGCTCAAAAAAAGAAACAACGATGACTCGGACAATGACTGGGATCGGTATTCTGAAAACGTTCGCCCGACAAGAAGAGGACGAAAGATAGATGCGCTGATGAGAGTTGGTTTTATTGTATTGTTCAGAATTAGTAACTACTTGATTTAGAAGCCAGAAGAAGTTGTTACGGAAGCTACTGCACGAGAAAAGCTTGACAACCTTTTCAAGGAACTTCAAGAAGCGGGCGATTCGACCGAAAAAGACGAAATTCAGATGATTCTCGAGTTCTGTTCGTGGTTTGAAGAGAAACTTGCAATCGGATCTCATAAACTGTACTATGAATTGCTTTGGAAAGTAATCAGCAGGTGTGAATTTTATCGTTTGAACAACTGTATCTGAAGATTTTTAGACCAGGATTTCTGGAACAGTACAAGGAAGACGAGAGAATGCTGAAAATATGGGAGATAATGGCTGATAACAGTGCTGGTCATGCACACGACATTTATCAGTTCGCTATCAGTCGACAGTCCCTGATTAAGTCGGATTTCGTAATCCAAATTGATAAATAGTCTTCGAAATTTACAGATGCGCAGCACTGTATGCTCGTTGGTCGCAATGTGTTGAATTGGCAGGTGCCTATGTGGAGGCTCGGCGTGTTTTAGTTCTGGCTCGATCCAACTGCGCTATGCCTCTGAAAATTATCAATGATGCTGAAGATGAGCTAGAAATGAGAGATATGCGAAGACATTTACAAGACAGGGATTCAGATGATGACGATGATTTTGAGGAGACGAGAAAAGCATTCACACAGTTGCCTGGTAATTGAAAAAGCATTCTCGTCGGATCTAAATTTCTTGATTTTAGTATTCGGTGACAACCACACCGTCCCCATTGTTCGCCTCCCATCTATGTGTTCGGATACTACGAAGCAGACGATAAGGTTCGATACACAAAACGTTGAGAAAATCCAATCTGTTTGTGTGGATAATCAAATGCAACCGTTCGAAGTATGGTTTTGTGCTTATTCTCTGAATATTTTATCATTCCAGGTCCTGTCTTATGGGGATGCAGATGACGTTGAATATCTGAAGAATGTTCACGAATTGAATGCTCACATTGAACGATATGCAATCAAAGAAACAAAGAACCCAAGTATCGCTGGTACGTCAGCGTCAGGTGTAGGAACAACGGTGCGTTTTTCTTGTTGAAGTACTGGGGAAATTTTTTTTTTCAGATCTACCCCATCTCTGATTATAGATTTGAAGTTTGGACAGTGGAAAGTTCCAATCCAACGAAGCCAAAAGCCAGAATGGCTATCAAACGCATTTTCAAGGATATGTCCTTTGAGGTACTTTCTTGTATTTAAATTGTTGAATTCATTGTAATTTCCTTGTTTAGGAATATGCTGCTTCTCTTCTCCCGAACCATCCGTCAATGATGCGGGCTGCTGTCAAAAAGTTGAATTTTGATGAGACACTGGAATAATTTGAGTTTGAATTTTTATTCATTTTGTCAACTATCATACAAACAAAAACACTGGGAAATCAATGGGAAGAATGCGGCGAGAACTGAAAAAAATCACACTTCTGAATTGTATTATGTACTAAATCATATTTTTTTTCATAATTTCTCTCTTGTTATCACATTCAAAATAAACTGTGACTATTTCGATGGGAGAAAAATGGGACTTTTGGCTTATGAGAAGTGAATAAAAACAACACGGGGGGAAGGAAGTGAACTGGAATGGATGAGAATGAAAATGAGGATCTTATGTACAGAACAGGGAAGGTGAGAGGAAATGAGCGGAAGACCACTTAATTATTTTTGTTCATTTGATCTACTTTTTCTTTGAGCTCTTTGACTTGCTCAATCAAAGCAGACAACATTTGAGTGAGATCTTCTTCGTTTTTACTGAAAAATATAAAATTTAAATTATTACACCACGATATTATTTTGGTACAAAACATCGGAGCTGTAGAAGATCCCACAACGACAACTACCGTAACCTAAAAGTCCTTTTGTTTTCCGGATTTATTTTCGGCCAAATTTTTAGACCCTTGTCACTTTTTCAGCTATTTTTGCCTATTCTTTTTCGATTTGTTCAGGTTTTTGTCTGTAAATCAATAAGACGGTGTTCGCAGAGATTACTGTAAAAAACTGATAACCTCAAAACTATTTGGAAAAAAAATGCTCGCAGTCTTTCCACATTTTTACGTGATTATTGTTGCAAAGAAACTACAGTAATCTACAGTAATCTTTACGAACATCGTCCGTTCGAATTGCAATTTGCAAACAAAAAAGCCGAGAGAAGTGAAATATTTCAGGGTTACTGTAATCGTCGTTGTGAGACCTTCGGCCACTGCCACCGGCGTTTCTCTTCCATAGTTTCATTTTTGCACCAGATTATTTGTACTCACCTGATAACTTGAGCAGTTGATTCTTTTTGAAATCCACGAAGAACGAAAAGATTCAGGATAAGGAATGCGGCGAGCAAACCAGTGATCATATACAAGAAAGGTTTGTACTCTGGAGAGCTAGTCACCGTTATCGGTTGAATTCCACGAGAAATTTCACTTCGGAAGTGCATGTCAGAAGAAACCAACGATCCTTCATCAGACAGTTTGCTGTGTTCTCCACCAGCAATCAGCCGATCTGACTTTTTGGACCGACGGTGACGAAGTTCTGGTGTATTTTTCGATTCAATTTCAGATTCTTTTGTTGTTGTTGACTCTGTGATTTGTGGGAAGTTGACGGATGTGAGGGATCTGGAATATAATATTCAAATGAAACAATACGAATCAATAACGAAATACCTCTTCTCGGGCTCAGGATTTTTCTTCGCATAATCATCAAACATAGCGTTCAATATTTTATAATGTTCCTCCAATGCACTGTAGGTTGGTTTCTCGATGAAGTTCTTCACAACACCCCATACACTTTTCTTATAAACAATCGTTCCATAAACTTTGACACGACACGAAGCGGATCCGATTCTCGAAACACAGTATTGGCAGTTAACAGTGAAATGATCTGCGTATGGAACTCCGGAGTTCTGTGTCTCCTTTTGCATTTTGAATCCATGTTTTGGATTGGGGAAATGAGTCAGAATTTGTTTCTCATTCACAACAATGTCCTTGGATGCCAGTGGATTTGCAACGTATACGGTATAAGTGCAGGTACGGGTGTTTTCTCCTTGATGATTTCGATGCCACATTGCAGCCACATACGAGTCAACTTTTGTCTTCTTATTGCATTCAGCCATGAAATCGTTTTCTGTGAATACCAGTTCATAGAACTTCTCAACAGAAACTTTTACTTCTTTATCCATCAGAAGACGTCCAGAATGCTCAGCACATGGACAAGCGATCTCTTCTTCATCCATATCGAATTGCTCAGAGAGATGAGCAGAATCATCATCGTGGAAATCAGAAGATGTTGAACTTTGAGAAGTGTTATCCTTATCAATATTTTTCAGTGTTGATACTGCAGATGTTTCAGTGCGTGGGGAAATTGATCCATTAAATGAAGGAGAGCTCAGATTCTGAAATTTAGAGTTCTTGTAAATTTGATAGGAGCTTGTAGGAGGGATTTTAATCTATTTAACTATCAAATGAAACGATTTCTTTCGTAACAAGTACTGTCACCATCACTCTCTTTTCTCATCGTTTTCTCACTATTTGCTCTTCAATTTTTTCAACGTCTTTTCGTTGCAAAATACAGAGAAAGATAAATATCAGAAAACCGATCATTTTCCTATTGACTGCTTTGATGACGAATGAAACTCTTCGAACTCACTGTCATATTTTCCGTTGAGGCGTTCTTGGTTGAGGCTGGTGAACTTCCCTCCGGAGGCGTATGAATCTGCGGGTTCTGGAACGATCGATTAGGAAGTGGGTATAAAAATATGGAGAAGATTTTTTGAATGGGTCGGAAATATTGGGGTATCCCTAGTAGATTTTCCTACTGAAAAAGTTGGAAATTTACGATAAATTTGAAATACCGTAAATACTCTAAAAGAATGCCAACCGTCAATTTTGATTCAATTTAACTCGATTCCTGTGAAAGATATCGAAAATTGGTTAACTAACAAAATATTGTTGATATTATGATGGGCATTCTATCAATTAATTATTTTTCGATATCTTCTACAAAAACCGAGATATATGAGCTCAAAGTTTCGGATGGCAGTCTATTGGAGTGTTTATGGCAATGATGTCATTCAAAATGTTTCTACATTTGAACTCGGAATGTTCAAAATATTTGGACTTTTTTGAATACTCATGATGTTTGAAGGTAACAGAAAAACAATTGAAACTAGTATTTCAATAAGAAAAGAACGGAGATAAAATCTGATTCTTTAAGGAATCAGAACAAAAAAAAAGACTAAAACACCAACCTGTTTAACCCGTCTTGAACTATTATTTCTCAGAAAACTAGCGGTCATTTGTTTAGCTAATTTAGCTAATATTTTCATATTAGGTTAGGAATATTTCTTTGCTTCAACAAAGAATTAAAGAGATGTTGGTTGTCTTGAGACCAGAATCTAATAGTAAGGGTCAGTGGGTATTTCTTATTCCTTATAACATATGGGCGGTATGGAATGGAAATAGAGAGACCCGAGGGGCGTGGCCAAAAGACTACTATGACCATAAGGTCAACACTCTCGGGATGTTTGACTACAAAACCAGAAAAAAGGAACTAGAGAATAGAAAATAAGGCACGGAGAGAAAGAGATAGAGAGAATCGTTTTCAAAGGTTTTCAGAGTGGTTACCAATGCATTGAACACTTGACAACATTCAAATTCAATTTTGAAATTGAGTGAGTTTCAGTGAGTGGAAAAATGATAAAACCAGGATTGGGCGAGCACAGCAACTCTTCCGAAACGTCAAAGAAAACAGTATGGGAGAGATAGAGACGCAGAGAAAGCGAATGCGCTGAGTCTCTCATCTCTAGAAGAAAGGAATAGAGAATGAAGGCAAATAAAGTGGTTTTCAGAGAGAGTGTGAAAGAAAGAGGAAACGAAGGAAACACATATTGTCAGCTCGGAGTCCTGGAAACGTGTTCTAAGCGTGATTTGTGAGAGTTGTATGAGTATGATGCGTCGACTGGAGACCCATTCAAAACTCTAGATTTTCTCGTCATTCCGTGATTTGATACCGGTCTATCATACCCCCCGCCGTTCTATGAGCAACCAGCAATTCGATAGAGACTCATTTTATATTTAGACAGACTAATAATGAAAATGACTTTTTTGATTTGAGGGTCTTCCAGATTATCAATCGAAAGAAGCGTCAAGCAAGCTTCTATTAATGGGAAAGCCTGCAAATTTATTTCGAAATATTTGATTAAAATAGATTTAGGTTTTGAAATTCATCAAAAAGGCTGACAGATGTTTCGACCCATAAACTCTTTACGCTGTACCTACCGTAAACCAAAGGTTTACTCAATCAGAATGGCAAATCCTTAGATTCAGAAAATTACACAACTACAGAACTAAGAATTCTTCAAAACTTCTAAACCAAGATTCCTAAACTTAAACGCCTGTAATCTCGAAATATCCACATGGGAAAGTATTTGAGCTTCTGGATTTTGGAATAAATATAATTCTAAGAGAATGACCTCTTAACTTTTAACCTTGGGCCAATTTATCTCGGTTTCTGTGAGAGATATCAAAAATTGGTCAACTAACAAAAATTGTTTTCGGACACAAAGTTTCAGAAACAGTGATTCCTGCATATGGATTTTTTGGAAACAGCTCAACTATTTTGAATTCCAAGACTGATGTTCTTCATTTTATCCAGAATTCACTAACCTTTACCTTATAAACCATATCCCAAACTTCTTCTCTCGTCATTGCTCTTCCTTCTTCTCCAACCACTTTCTGCTGCGCTGTCGTCAGAATTTGAAACGATTTGTCTCGATTGATGAATGATGCAAAGAAGTACTTTTCCCCCGTATCTCGTTCAAACTGAAAGGTATTTAGAAAAAAATTCAGTCTGTTAATAGAATTTCAAGAAACTACCTGAATAGAGTTCGGAAAAATGAATGCAGCTTTCATCTTTTTTATCAATTTGATTTCCTTCATAGGGATCACCAAAGTCGTTTCCCAGCCGATGATGTTAGCGTAGAAGCAGACATTAAATTGAGATATGAACATTCGTCCTTGGGCAAGAATCTCTCGTTGGTAGGCACAGGAATAGGCTGAAATTTAATTTGGAATTGAAAGGGAAATTGTTCAATAGTTTACTTTTGTTTCTCTTCATGTAAGTGTTATGTTCATTAAAAATAGCTCGATCTATGGTTATCAAAAATGTTCGGACAGACTTTTTTGAGAAACGGGATTCGGAATAAAATAATTTTATGGAATCCGGAATTCAGAATCCAGACAAATAACAATTTCCTGGAATCCGGAATAGAATTAATTTCCGGTACAAAAAAGGGAAAAAATCCGAAATTTAGAGATGCTAAATATTTAGAAAATTCTTTAAGGTCCTTTAGCAGAAATTTGAAAAGTACTGCTCGTGGAAGATAATTAAAAGTTCTTCTGAATCCGTAATAAGGAATCCGGGCAAGTTTTTATTTCTCAGAATCCAGAATCCAGAATGAAAAAATCACTGAATCTGGAATCCGGAAATTTTTATGATTTTGCTTGCATCATTCAATTACCGTAATCTTGTTCTTCAGAATTCAAAAGTGCACAAATTTATTATCAATGTATCGCCTGATCGTTTTTTCATTATCTTCCCAACTTGTTATCTATGTAAATGTTTATGATTCATCTATTAAATCGAATGAACATTGTTTTCAAAATCAATCCTATTGTTGAATTTCAAACATCAAAAACTCACAAGCCAAAAATTGATCGCTATCTTCAATCAATCCTTTATCAACAAATATCTTCTTGAACTGCAAATTCCTCTCGTGATAGCTAGGATGAATCAATTTCTGAAATTATTAAATAAGAAAATTAAGAAAATTGAATCATTCTCACCATGAAAATGTTCTTATCCGGTTTCTCAGCAAAATATTTTTCCATCCGACTTTTTGCTCTCTGACTGTCATCGCCTCTGAAAATATATGGAAATTTAGAATAAAAAAGGGTTAATGTTTGGAGGTTACCCATTATTCAATGGTATTTGAGATGCGGGACGCTTTAGAAGAACCATTACAAAACAACAGGAGTTTTTAGAACATTTCATTTTTTAGCTCTCCAGAAAAACCAATTTCGTGGATTTGAGGTCACGCGCCCTATGCCTCATTTATGTGTCATCTCCCCCTATTTTTGATTTTATTCTCTAATCACCTTTTTTCATCATCGTTCATCATAGAAGAGTTTGAGCTGAAAGCCAAATATCAATCGATAAGAATATTGTTTTTGGTTCTTGACTATTATTAATTGGTTCTAATCAATAAACATCAAAATAAAGCTCTTACTCAGATAAGGGAGAAGCCAAGGAAGTCAATGTTTCAGAAGGTCTTTCCGCATCTGGAGACAGCTGGACCCCAGAATCCGATAGAGATGTCGGACGAGTAGTCATCGTCATCGTCGTGGTAGACGACATCAACCACGAGGAATCAGAGTTTAGAAAATAACTGGATTCAGCCAACTTGGCGAATTAGGAAGTTAGGTAGCAGAAAAATTGTGAGAACTGTTCTTATTTCTGTCTCTCTAACAGTACAATACAAATATCTCAATATGTAATGTGCCTGTATATATTGACATTCATATCAACACAGGCAAAGACTCGTCTGATAAAAAAGTTTTCTCGTCCATCAAAAAGTGTCCTCCTCCTTCTTCTTTCTCTATTCTATCTCTCTACATTTCAGTTTTTCTCTCTTTTTGAGCACACACCACATCAAGTCACTGAACACTTCTTTTCAGTAGGAAATGGGTTCATTGAATTTCTTTTTATCACACAAATTTCTAGATTTTCCTAGCCTAGAGACATGAAAATTTTGAAGATAGATAAAACGAGTAGTCTAGTTGATACCGTGTTTTAAGACTCGGAAAATGTGGTGGACACACTCTTTAAAAAAAGGATACGGTAATAGAACTGTGAAAGCTACTCAATATTATTTTGATACAAAAAAATCGAAGATGTGGAAGAGAACCGTCAGTGGTCGTGGCCGAAGGTCCCACAGCGACAACTACAGTAACCTAAAAGTCGTTGTGTTTTCCGGATTTATTTTTCGGCGAAATTTTCTGACCTTTCAAACGTTTTCAGCAATTTTTGAGGATTCTTTTCCAATTTTTTTCATATTTTTTGTCTTCAAATCAATGGGACGGTGTTCGCGAAGATTACTGTAGATTAATGTAGAAAAACTTTTTTCCCGTAGTGTTAGAGACGTGTTCATGTTTTTCGAAGAAACTACAGTAGTCTACAGTAATCTTAACGGACATCGTCCCGTCCAACTACAATTTGCAAACCAAAAATCCGGAAAAAAAAGAAAAAATACTCAAAAATAGCTGAAAAGGCTGAAAAGGTCCACAAATTTTGAAAGAAAAATATGTTTTTGAGGGGAAATATCTGATTGACAACAATGTGAAAGAAACGTTAATAAACTGCTTCTAAAAAATCTTCCATTCTCAATCTAGTTCATGTAGCTACAGTAACTTAACGGAAGGTTTGACTGACTAATTGAAACTAATACTGAAAATCTGGAATTCAATGCAATCCGTTCCTACCAAAACAAGTGTTCCACTTCCATGTTCCTCCACAACTGTAGCATACAAACTACAGTTTCTCAGAGGTCAACATCTATTTTTTTGCTCGGGGAAACATTAGATTACAAACGAAACCCGCACTTCAAACACACTTTTCGCACCGAAAACTTCGAGAAGACAAGCAGAGAAAACGGTGTAGTGATCGTCGATTGTAGCCAACGGTTTGTTACATTCGGAACAAAAAGTGGGATAAATTTGAGTGAAATTTAAAAACTGAAACACTCCGAAATGTGACTTGTTTGAGGAACTAAATTAGGAGTTTATGCTAGTACTTCGAGAGCAAACTCCAATCATCAAGAGCGACGAAAATGTTCAAGAATAATCAGAGAATCATTTAAAAATCTGGAGAATCGACACAAAAATTGAATCCTTCTGAACTGATTAGTGTCTGATTTATACACATGGTATAGCTATACAAATACAGTCATCTACAATAAAAACAGTAGCCCGGAATTTTTTAAAAATCCACTCAAAACACAATTTTCGAAACAGATAAATCATGGTGTTTTAGAACTACATTGGTTTATTGAACGATATAGAATGATACAATAGAGGGGCTTTTATGCTGGTTACATGATAAAGAATTTAATAAAAGAAAGTGATTGCGGGGGATGCAACGCACATTCCCCGGTGAATCACCATCAGAAGAGTGCGATTTAGCACACAGGGATCAGAAAAGGTGCTTCCAGAAGCGGAAAAACTTTCTTATGAACATTCAAAGCCTTGACTTCAATTAATCTAAAAAAAGGGAAAACTTAGCGCGTTTTCTTTGTTGTCTTCTTAATTTTTCCCATTTTTATCAATCACTCTATCAGTCTAATTTTCTCTCTGATTCACTTTTCCAAACACTGCTCACAAATCTCGGTTTCATAACCAAACCGTGATTTGTTCCGTCTTCTTCTTCTTACCAACCTCCCTTTCAACCTTTAATCAGAATTTTAGATCAAATTTCTTATCATTCCCATATGTGTCTCGTTAACCACATAGATAGCATAATAAATTCGTTGACTTTATCAATTTCTAAATACTTGAGCTCTTTTCCCAATGCGTCCCGTGTAGTGAGTGTGTCTTGAGTTGCTCTTATGATGATGACAGCCAAAGAGGAAATCGGAAAATTTTTACGGCTGGTGCATAGTTAGGAAACGGAATCGCATGATTTGGAAATATATGGGAGCAAAATGACGAGTTGTAAATTTGTGTAGTTTGTTATCAGAAAATCAAAATTCATATTAAGTTGTGAATTGAGCCACCTCCTATTATTCAGATTAAAAAATTGAAGATGTGGATGAGAAACACTGGTGGCCGTGGCCGAAGACCCCACAAAGACAACTACCGTAACCTTCGATTTATTTGTTATTGTCCAGAAAACATGTAATAGAAGGGCCCCTACACTGTCATGTTTGAGCTCAATTATCTCAATTCCAATGCAAGATATCAAAGTTGTGTCAACTGAGAAATTACTTCTGATATTATGATAAGCAATTTATTAGTTCACAACTTTTCTATAGATAGGAACTGAAAAAAAAATTGAGTCAAAGTTAAAAGTTCTGGGGCCCTTCTATTACAGGTTTTACGGTGTTTTCAAGATGTATTATCTTGACATTCGTGCGTTTCCAGTCAATTTTTATAGAAAAATTTTATTTTCCCCCATGTTTTATTGAGAAATAACAGAAAAACTCGACGAAAAGCAGTGAAAAAAAAATCAATCCAGTAAACAATGTTTTAGGTTACGGTAGCTGTCGTGGTGGGACTTTCAGCCACAGCCATCGGCGTTTCTCCATAGTTTCGATTTTTCATACATACCAGAATAAACAACCCATTAGCTTTCGAACCGAATGAATGAGGCAATGCAAATAATATGAGTAAAACGTTATCGAGTTGAAATCTGTACTTTAGGACAAAAACAAGACAATAAGCATTGTCATAGGAATCGAACTAGTATTTTTGCTTTAGGGAGACAATGTTGTAGAAAGAAGACGTTGAACTGAAAATTTCTAATGAACGAATTACTGGCATCATTTCGGGAAAGATTTCTGTTGATTCTAGCCAAATTGGTCTACGGCGAAGGGTGCTAACAACAAGACTTTTCCAAGTTTACTTTTTCAAGTTTACTGTGCCTTGCAACTTACTCTTGATCATCATCATCTATGGCATTTTGTCGCCTCAGAATCGTTCTTCTTCTCTTTTCAGCATCCCCGCGTGCACTGAGACTTCTCGTCAGAATCCCACGTGAAACAGATGAAGAAGGCGACTGACTAGGACGAATTATCACTGATCGAACACGTTTGAACACTCCTTGACGGTGGAAGAATTCTAGCAAAAGAGGTTACAGAATAATTTACAACCAAACTAAATTATCTTACCTGAACTCATCTTGAATATTCTAAATTAGGTTACAGAAAACTATAAAATATATCTACAAATCTCAAGATCTCTTCTTTCGTACAGTCCGTGTCTGTTACACTTGGCTGAGGAACAGAAGGGCCTCTTTGTTTTTGTCTGAAATTTTCGTATTGCTGTGTCTTTGCTTTTTTTGCTCGCTTTTTCGTTTATGTATTTTTATTTACAGTCATTATTTTCTTGTGAATGAAAGTGGAAAAAAGAAGAAGAAAAAGGCAGAATACTAAATGTACAGACAACAGGGACCGAGTAGACTTTCATGAGTATAAAAAACTGGGAAGGAAAATAACATTAGCAAGGATCACATGAAAAGGTGCAGAATGTGTTTTTT